GGTTCACCAACTTTTGCCTTCATTGCTATGGTTGTAATGTTGACAGTCAATAAATAAGTACAGTAACAGCAAGCCAGGGACCTCATCCTAGAGTGGAGAGAGTTATCAGAGGACTATACTTGAGTAAGTGGCCACTGGTAGTGGTTGAGAACGAACGAGAACCCAAAGAAACACCAATCACGTCCAGAACTGGACAAATAACATACGAGGGATTTACCCTTTCCTGGGCATTTGCACTTAGATGTTTTTCATTCAAAGTTGTGGTTACTTACAGGCATTGTTATACCACACCTACAACGTTGCGCTACTGTTTCAGCCGTAGCTGCAAATGCGCCTTTGGGAGAAGGTGGAGGAGGGAGAGGGGGGAGGGGGTGTAGAAAGAAAGGGCAAGAGAGACGAAAATTGAGCCATGCTCATAATTCACTGACTAATTTTCACACGATCAAACAACCAATCTTCAATCAATAATCTTCGTCGCCGTGCCACTTTTCACTTTGAGAAACGGCCAGCAGCGCTCCACGGAAAAACCCCGTCATTGTCGCCTTTGCGGGAAATCGAAATAGTGACAAAGAGAGCGAAATGACGGCACGTCTTTCATCTACGTCACATTTGGATTACGGTAGACGTCATCGTGGGTAGATCAATATGGTGGGTGAGTGGGTTGGTGGTGCCGACGAACGGACACATCGTCAGAGGTGCATGGCGACGAATGAGGCGCGGAAATGGTGCAATTACATGAGATAAGTGACGAAAACGAGACTTGAGAGTACGGTACCTGTCTTTCGGTGAGCTGCAGACTTTCTGAAATTTCTTGTCGTCGTTTTCTTGTCAAATATTTATTGTAGTGGAATTCCTTTTCCAGTTCCAACGTCTGATTTCGCGAATACGTTTGCCGCGTACGCTTCGATTCACCCGACTTTGAGCCTGAAAACCCATGGGATTATGACGATAAGGTGAAAGTAAGTTCAAAAGTACAAGTGGTTGTTGTCCTGAACGAAGTTGCGAAACTAGACAAAGGCTGGCTGGTTGCGTGGACTGACTGGCGCCTGGCTACAGTATACAGCCGCGATGCGATGCGTTAGTGGTCAGGTGGCAGGTCGCGTAACGTACGCAGCGCGCTGCGGCGCCTTTCATCTGCGCGAATTCGCGATCTGCTTCTGAGATTTATGATCGTCGCCCGTTGCCACAACAGAGAGGCGCTTCGCTATCGACATAAAATTATGCAAATTCTCACTCATTCTCGGCTATGAGTTCGCTGCACTTTAGCATGAATTTACAGTAATTTAGTAAAAGTATAAGCTGAGCTACTCTGTTTTATACTCCCATGGTTTTACCTCTGAAATCCCCGCTTTTTTCAATTATTAAATCATTTTTTCCGCATAAATTTACTAGGAAACAGGCCAGAGAGAGTGAAGAACAAGGTCTCAAAATGATAGAGAACTTGAGGATCAGATTTTTTCAAATTTTTCACAGAATTTTGGGCAACTTGCAGCTACTGCTAGGCATTCCAACTATGAAGAAGCAACAGGCGCTGTTCGGCAGTGATGAGCTGAGGTCACGGTCAGATTTCCACAAAAAAGAATGAAGCTACCACGTAACAATCCAGGCCAGGGCACGTCATTAGTTGGGATTTTGGTTGAGTCCGTACCACCCTCTGGAAAGTGGCATGATACGGCTCCGTCCCCACTTCCCTCCTCTGATACGAGCGAACGGGGGAGGAGTATATAACACATTTGATATGGAAAGCACCACGAGGGGAGACATGACCTGCCCCCTCCTTTCCCCACTCTGCCTACCATTCTCTTAGATTTTACCAACTTCCTACCACTTTTCCAGTTTTTATGGAATCTCCCAAAAACTTTCCAGCTTTTTTTCACGATGGTGCGCCCTGATCCAGGCCTAAAGGCAGAGTCAAACTACGGCCCGGTCAACATAACGACCAGTTTTCTAAGCTCCTGTAAAGCTACGAAATTGTAATAATTCACTTGCACGCAATTTTCTGTAATAAAGACATAAGTCACGATAATTTGAAACATGGTCGAAAATAATAGCACGGCTGCTAGATAATGGGGAAAATGACGAACAAGCAAAGTTGAGTGGCCGAAATCCCGCTTAAAAGCCTTTTTCCTGTTGGGCATCGGACAAGCATCTTTGGACGACTTTTCTGTTGACATCGTGCTAACAACCAACCATTGATAGGTACGGCTGCGCGTACTTATCCTTATAGCCATGATACGTCACTTAATATCAATTGTACTTCACAACTGAAGCGATAAGAGTACAAGCGTGAATGTGTTTGTAAGGCCATTTGTGGGCGGGCGGTTGCACCTCGATATGCACCCCTTGGGATCTGGGCCAGCAGGCTACAGCTTGGTTTAAAATTGTGACGGTGAACTTGGGAAAGGCGCCATAGCGTCTGCTATGGGGCAGAATATAGTTTCGTGCTAGGGGTATCGACCCTGCGCGCGTTATCAATTTATCGTAGACTTTCCTTTGATGGTATAATGGCAAGAGTTTGTAAAGAAGAAATTATTGTGAGCCATTCCGGGAATTGACCCACCTTGAGAGAGATAATCGCCCTTCGCATTTGTTCCTCAAACCCTTCCCTGACTATTTTTGTATCTAGATATCTCACCAGAAACAAATTCTGATGCTCATCCTTGAGTTAAGGGAGGGCGTGTATAGGACTCTTCTATAATACCGCGACTGCCCTCATAAGCGAAGGATTGCTTTAGTTGGAATAGGTTCACTCAAGAGCTTGTTCCACTCCAGGCCCAGGCAGTCTTTGCCACTGTTGCGGCAGTCCCGATTTTGCCCGAAGTGTCTTCAAAAGGCCTCTGGGTTTTGAGCGCCCAAGTCCATACATTTTACTAGTTCTACAGGAGTTCAAAAGATTTTACAGTAGGACCCTCCCAGATAGTTGACAGGAGTTTACAAAACTCCCTCACCTTGCAGCGGACCAACGAGGCGATTCATTCCCACGTAGTTTTTGGTGTCACTGTAAAAGTGGGAGAGCTACGTGTCATTCTTAGGAGGCTTTTTTCTGATGAATGAATTATGGCTGGATAATCAAAAGTTGCTTTCCAGTGTTTGAGGATCAGCTTTTCTTCAAAGCAAGTTGAATCTCGACGGGAATTCACATTTCCACGGAATCCTTGTATCTCGCAACATAATCTTGAATCCTTCCACGGACGTTTGAATAGCTAACTTGAACCCAACTTTCCATGCGGAGCTTAAGGAGCATGGCGCAGGCAGTTGGTGCGATGAGTCCCTAAGCGAGCAGGATTAAAACGCCTGGCAGGACGGAATTACAGCGCCCTCTGAGCAGGCGCTGCGTAGCTCCTTTCCCAGAAGGTACCCTTGTAAGGCTCTATCAAGCTACAACATACCGATCCGAACGCCCACCGCGCCTGCCCCTCCACAACGCGAGACCGTACGACGCTCGCATTGGTTCTTCGCCAAGTAAAATATGAAACGAAATGCTTGGTATGAAGCTGCCGTGCTGCATGGATATATGAGTACATACGTGCAGCCGTATCTACCGTAGCGGTTATTGGCAAGATGCCTACGGGAAACTCGTCCGAAATTGCTTTTTGAGTCATTAGGAACGAAGGCTTTTCTTCGCAGGTTTTTGACCGTTTCACTTCGTTTTTCGCCATTTTCCTCCCATATAGCACCCTGCTAGCCTTTCAGACCAAGTACCAAATTTTTGTGCCATATGCCTTCAACGTCGTAATATAGAGTTACGGTAAAATTGGTTCACCCACCCCAGCTTCTTCCTTGTTAGGCTTAGCCGAAGCTCTTCACCTTCAGTAGGGCAATTTTCCACCACAGGAATTTTCAAAATGCCGTCTTCCCGGCTTGAAATATTCAATTTGGCGCCATATGTTACACATAATCGCTTCACACCTTCATACTACGCACCCAATTCTACCCAGAGATTGGTACATCATCGTTGAGGGATTCTCGGCGTCAGAAAGCAGGTTCGCTATGTTTTTGTATCTGATAGTTGATCTGAGACCGATCTGTCCCCGCCCCTCGGTTCTCCACGCATATTGGGTATGGACTGCATTTTGGATTTTTTCGTTTGTATGACGTACCCCGCTTCAAAACGTCAGAAGGCAAAAGCTTCATGATGTCAATATCCTTGTGCACCTGATTAGCCAGACGCAGCTACCCGTCACCAAGCTACAGTATCCACAAATAAAGTCCAGTTCGAGGAAATTTATGCTCATGCGATGCATTGCAGGCCGTACGCGACGTCTGTGTGCTACGACTGATTTATGGAAAACGGAATGAAAACCCAATTTGAATCGGACGCTTCTTAGCCATCCACCATATTGAAGCGTCAGAAGGAGAACGCGCAATATTGCACATAATTACCACCAAAATAAACTCTAATTCACATCCGGTTCGGTACGGCAATTCACAGCCGACGACGACGAGTGACGACGATGTGATGACGCATGGTGGGCCACGAAAAGCACGAAAACAAGGCAAAAACAGAGCGGGGAGTAGGGCAAGGGGGGTGCAGAGCCGAGGCAGAGTAAACTCCCAGGAAAGTCCAGCACACGATTCTGATATTGACGTGGCGTTCCACTTAGTCCCATGAAACGCTGTTCAACGAAATCGATTGAATTCGTGTGCACGGGATACGGTATTGCATGTGACTGGGACACTGAAAAGATGATATCGAACTGGGTGAGACGCCACGATTTCCCATTAAACTTACTAAGAAAATAATTTGATGAACTGATATTTCACAAGACGGTTTTTCCTTATTCGATAATCTAATCGAGGGCTTTGTGAGATCATCATAAATCAGTGGGACGCCCGGAATCGATTGCACTTCGATAGATCTCACATGCGCTTGCCTTCTAGTGCGCAAATCCGTGAGACCGGGACCCACCAACGGATGGGGTCTTTCATAAAACGTAAGAAGCAGGTCCGCCTATTTTTATTGTCGTAACTTCGGTCAGAGCTATAAGAGAGGATACACTCTGCGATTTACGTGAATGCTGCAACAGCATGAATGTTCACCCAATGAACATTAAAGCTGTTGCAATGCGGAAAAAGTCCTGGTTCTTACCACATGGCCAGGAACTGCAAAGGTTGCCACCCTGGAGGCAGATTCAGGAGATCCAATCGCTGAACGAAGTGAGCGTAAGCATGCGAATATTAGAAAAACAGACGCGGGAACCCTGAATTTGTTTTTGAGAATTTCGAACGCCTTGTGAAACAAATATTTTGGACGCTATTTGGTTTTTTAGCAAGGCTTTCAGATTAAACCAACTGATTGAGAGTGGGCTGCCATTTGCTCTGAAATTCAGCACAGGACACTGCGATGTTTGAACTTCCCTAGGCATGGAGGGTCGCATTTTATTCGTTTGGATGAGTTCTTGGCACTGAGAAGGAACTAACTGTCGAAGCAGCGAGGGAATTCCGGGAGCGAAAATTGCTGTAAGTGTTTTACTTGTTTCAGGCCTTACAGGATTGTTAGGTAGGACATTCGTTGAAATGAATGAAATGTTTCAACTGAATCGTCGATTTCAGAAGCCGACGGTTCCCACCGTTCGAAAGTAGAAGGTCCGCTGCCGCAAGGGGGCTCAGTTCCTTGTTAAAAGTATTTTTTTTCCACAACCAACTAGTGAGGGCTTTCTCCTGTTAAACGGTGGAATCGTCGGGCACTGAAGACGACGATTCAGTCGAAAGATAGGACCATTTTAACAACCCTTCCGCCTTACAACCTAAGGCGAAACACAAGTGAACATTCTACAGGCTAACGTACCGATGTTATGGCGAGAAGAAAGAACTGGAAAATCGGTTTTTAGTGTTACGCACCCCTGCAGGAGTTTAACAGCCTTTCTCGAAAAAGCTGTACCCGGAGGTGTACAAGCAGAAAAAGGGGGAAAGTTGAACTTCCAGGTTGGGAGAGTCGGCTAGAGACAGTTCCTAATCGTCATGACACGCCCTGCTCATAAAGCCACGCAAATGGTAGTGACATTCGAGAGAGGACTAAAATATTGCCAGCAATATTTTAAGTAGCGGCTACTGGCTAATAGTCCCCTTTTCCAAGGTAAACGCTTTCTGGTCAAGGAAAATAAAAGCTGACGATATAATAATTATTGTGTTTCGCAGTCTGAGCTTGCTTCAAGAGGCTCTTAAGTACCATGGGTAATTTTGGCTCCCATGTCAAGCCCAACTGTGGCAATTTTTTTAGCCTGAAATTATTTCACACAACTGGGGTGCCCTTACTGATAGGTTTAATCCTGACTCTAGGTAGTACGGGCCCCTGTCAGTGCTCATTACTAAAGGTGACTTATGGCAATCACTGATTTGGGGGAAAAGATTTGACCTCCAGCTTATCATGGACTGAAAACGCTGCTCGACTGGCCAAGGGAGGTTATCACAGGCTGGTGATGCAGGACTTGGAAGCTAAGCCTTTTTTCCAAGTCCTAAGCCAAGGTGTTATGACCCCAAACAACTTGTAAAAATTTCTTGACGCTCAAAATGCGCTCAGATATTCATCGCTCCCCATCCAAGTGGGAACCTAACTGTAGCAATTGTCCTGGAGCTCCTTTGCAGACACTGCCCACCGCACAACGCTCTCCTGCTCCTAGATTAGCTGGAAAACCGTGTCGGACTAGTCATCTCATGGCCAGCCTAATTACCTTACTTGAGAAATGAAGACCACAAAGCCTTGAGAAGACATATCCGCTTCTACGTGGGAGCTAGGAGCCGCTCCCAAAAAAAGATTTTCTTAAAGAACTTCTAGGGTGCGGCCGTCTTGTAGCACTCTTTGCGCTGTCAATTCCAGCAAGGAGTGAGGCCACGGCAAATCGGGACCAGTATTGTCGGACCATATCGCAGGACAATCAATCGGGGAAAATTCCATTTGGGCTTGGTCGCTGGACGAACTTATTAGGAATTATTTCAGATACTGCTCCATGATCTTCTGTTACCCAGAAAGAAGAGTGATGATGAAGGAAAGGATGTCAGCTGCCCCGGATGATAATTGGGCTCTGCAGCGCTTTCTTCTGAATGACTGGAGGTCTGTAACATTTTGCCAGTAAAATATGACACTTTTCTCTTTGTACCAGTAAGGTTTTTGGCTGGAATTCTTTGTCATCGGCCCAATGTTTCTGAAAGTTGCAATGCTCAAGGCACGCAACACAAGTAAAGGCTCTCTAGAT